TAAGATTGTTGAATCACAGACCTGTACCTCTGAAATAAATAATACATTATATGTTAAAAAAAAGAAGAAGATAGCAGGAAGGGAAAAATGAAGGTGGGGAAATCAGAGGGGTAGACGAACCATGAGAAACTATGGACTCTGAGAAACAAACTGAGGGTTCTAGAGGGGAGGCGGGTGGGCGGATGGGTTAGCCTGGTGATGGGTATTAAAGAGGGTACGTATTGAATGGAGCACTGGGTGTCATGCGCAAACAATGAATCATGGAACACTACATCAAAAACTAATGATGTAATGTATGGTGACTAACATAATAAAATAAAAGTAAAAAAAAAATTCTGCAAAGGGGAGGTGCCTGGGTGGCTCAGTCATTAAGCATCTGCCTTAGGCTCAGATCATGATTCCGAGGTCCTGGGATCGAGCCCCGCATCGGGCTCCCTGCTTAGTGGGAAGTCTGCTTCACCCTCTGCCCCTCCCCCTGCTCATGTGCTCTCGCTCTGTCTCTCTGCTCACTCTCAAATAAATAAAATCTTAAAAAAAAAAGAAAGAAAAAATTCTACAAAGGAACCTACAAGTCAGCTTTGCTGGCTCCCATGCAAATATACGTTAATTATGCTCCTTCCAAGAAAAAAGACACCTTAAATGAGCCCAGGCTCTGGTGGGTATTATCAAACCCCAAACACATCTGAATCTAGAAAATAGATTCTCTCTGAAATTATTTTGTAGTAAAGATTGTTCAAGTTCAAAATCCCTTTATGATCCAGATAAGGCTTGACTCTCCACTCTCAATAAATGTCAAGTAAAAACAGGGTGGGAAGATCGTGCTAGAGTCATGGACATTGGGGAGGGTATGATGCTAGAGTCAATCATTTCTCTTAACGATAAGATTTCACTTGCAAAGTGATAAATACATTTGGAGCCATAACTGTGGAAGAGTTGGACATTTTCAGAGATTGAGAGCTGGTTTCATGCTTTGCCGCCTCATATACCATCAGGGTAGGGGCTCACAAATGTTCATTGCTTGAGCAAGAGACAGACTTGTCAGGCCTACTACTTTATATGCACTTGAGTGCCAAGCGGGAGCTACCTGTAAACGAAAACACTGCTCCCCGGCATCCAAGATGCCAGAGAAACACTCACCATCAGTGCGATCCACCATGACCGTGTGGCAAACCGCAAGCAGGAAGAAAAACTGTCGAACTTCGGACTCTTTCCCTGACTGGATTTGCTCAATGAGATAGTGGTCATAAAACGCAAGCTTCCCATCAGCAAACATATTCCAGCTAAAATCGACTTGCTGAAAGAAGTGGAGAGAGGAAACAAACACGTGATTTTGAAAATGTCCACGTGGGCTTCACAAAGGACAGGAGCTTGTCTCTGAAACCAAGTCTTTATGGAAAAGTCATCTTGAGATCTTAACACACTCTTAAGTGTCAAGAGGGCTCACACCTCTCTTAAAACAAAAAGACATCCTGTGGTGGGTTGAATGGTGTCCCCCAAAAAGATAAGTGGAAGTCCTAACCCCTGGTAGCTGTGAGGATGACCTTATTTGGAGAGAAGGTCTTTGCAGATGTAATCAGGTTAAGATGAGGTCCTACTGGATGAGGCTGGGCACTAATCCAATGACTGGTGTCTTTATAGGAGGAGGGAAATCTGGACGCAGACACACAGATACCCAGGGAGTGCGCCATGGGACTACGGAAGCAGACACATATGTAAGTGCTGGGTCTATAAGCCAAGGAACCGCAAGGATTGCAGGCCGTCACCAGAAGCTAGGAGGAGGCAAGGAAGGGTTCTTCCCTAGAACCTGAGGGATCGTGGCCCTGCTGGAAGCTTGATTTCAGACGTCTGGCCTCCAGAGCTGTGAGAGAATGAATTTCTGTTGTTTTAAGCCACCCATTTTGTGGTACTTTGTTACAGCCATCGTCGTGGGCAACTAATACACACCCCCAAACCCTTCGTTCAATGAAAGGACTCACCTCTATCTTGCTATGACTGTTTTGAGAAGCATCCTGATGGTCTCCTGAGAAAAAAACAGGACAAAACAACTTGAGTCTCCATCGGTGTGCAGAGGTCCCTCCCCACCGTGCTTCGGTTCTATGGGTCTCAGCTTATTTCTGGACGGCCTTCAAGTTTAGAACGATTTTCACATTTTTCAAGAGTTGTGAAAACAAAATAATACCTAACAAAGAAGAAAATCTGATGCAAACAATATATGGCCTGCAAAGGCTCAAATGCTTTCTACCTGGCTCTTTAGAGAAGTTTGCCGACCTCCAGTCCAGAGGTTCAAATACTAGTGCCTCTGTCCTTCTACACTGCGTCCTCCTCTGGGGCCAGACTCCTGTCCCTTGAAGTGCTTTACTTACCCCCCAGCTTTAAAGGGACTGCCCCCATGCACATGAGAACCACTTCCTTAACCCCCCAGGATCCCACCGCCTTCCTCACAGTCCCCCATGTCAGAGATGCTCCTTATGTGAAAACACATTCACGGTATAGTTTTCTACAAGGAAAAAGCACACAGCGTTCTTAAGGCTCTTTTAAAAAATCGTGTTAAGTGGGTGCCTGGTTAGCTCAGTCAGATAAGCATCTGACTTTTTTTTTTTTTTTAGATTTATTTATTTATTTGAGAGAAAGAGAGAGGGAGCACACGGTGGGGTGGCAGAGGGAGACGGAGGGAAGCAGAGGGGGACAGTCCTCAAGCAAACTCCCCGCTGAGCACAGAGCCTGACACGGGGCTTGATCCCAGAACCCTGAGATGATGACCTGAACTGAAACCAAGAGTCGGCCGCTTAACCGACTGAGCCAGCCAGGAGCCCTGCGTCCAACTGTTGATTTTGGCTGGAGTCGTGATCTTGGGTGGTGGGACTGAGCTCCACAGCGAGCTCTGTGCTCAGCATGGAGTCTACTTATGCCTCTCCCTCTGCTCCTTCCCCCTCTTGTGCGCTCTCTCGCTCTCTCAAATAAATAAATAAAATCTCTCTAAAAAGGAATTAAAAATTGTATTAAGTCTTTATTTAAAAGTTAGAGCATTCTGATTGAATACAGTATTAGCCTTAACATTTTTTATAAATATACAGCATATTTCAGAACATGAGAATGGAAATCAACTTTTTCAAAATAATTATGGGGAAATACATATAAAATTCACCACTTTAACCATTTTTTAAAAACATTTTATTTATTTATTTGACAGAGAAAGAGAGAGGACAAGCAGGGGGAGTGGCAGGCAGAGGGAGAAGCAGGCTCTCCGCTGAACAGGGAGCCCGATGCGGGGCTCGATCCCAGGGTCCCAGGATCATGACCTGAACCAAGTGAGCCACACAGGCGCCTTCCACCTTAAGCATTTTTAAAGTGTACAGTTCGGTGACATTAACTACAGTCCAACTGCTGTGCAGCATCGCCCCCACCCGCTCCAGAGCTCGTTCATCTGGTAAAGCTGAAACTCAGGACTCATTAAACAATACCTGCCCATCCTCCCCTCCCCCCAGCCCCTGGCAACCACCCATTCCACTTCCTGTCTGTGTAAATTTGACTGCTCTAGGGCCTCATATACATGGATTCATACTGTATGTGTCCTTCCGTGACTGGTTTATTTCACTGAGCCTAGTGTCCTCCAGGCTCATCCATGGGATAGCGTGTGTCACAACCATTTCCTTTTCAAGACTAACACTCCGGCGTATGTGGAGACCACATTTTATCCACTCATCCACTGATGGACACTTGGGTTGCTTCCACACTTTAGCTATTGTGAGTAACGATGGTATGAACATATCTGTGCACATCTCTCTCCCAGTCCCTGCTTTGGGTTCTTTTGGGTTTACACCAAGAAGTGGCACTGTTGGATCACACGGTAACTTCCTGTTTAAATCTTTGAGGAATGTGTGCCTGTTTCTGACCGCTGACCTCTCCCACGCGTGTGTTCCCGATGCCACCAGCGAAGCCACCTCCGAACTCAGCCCAGAATGGCCACAAGGGCTGGGCTCGGGGATGGCACCAGCAATTCTGGGAAGGCGGGCCCTGGTCACAGAGGCCTGGGGACCAAGTACCGGCTTCCACTCACCATATATTTGCCCATTGATGCAGCACTTCTTAAAGGTCATGATATTTTGTGTGAGCGTCCCTGTCTTATCTGAGAACACGTAATGGATCTGGCCGAGCTGCTCGTTCAGCGTGGTGGTTCTCGCCTTTGCGGGCGTGTCCTTCTCAGGATAGTACATCTGCAGGTCCCAGTTTATGAAGTAACTCTGTCCAAGACGGATCACTTCCACACTAGGAAGACAAGACGAAAGGTTACTTTGGGTGGCGCTCTCAGATCCGAGAGGCAGGTAGCAGGCTTCATCTTCACTTGCGTGCACAGGAACGAGCTGCTCATCCGCAGAAAGACAAGCCATGTGGAGTCTATGTGCCCAGTCTCTGGGTTCTCCTGACCAGACACATCTTTCTCCAGCCTTGTTCAGTGATTTCTCACTCACTCCTGAGTATGTCTGACCCTCAGCACATGGCCCCGTGGGACCGGTGACATGGTGACAATGTGGCAATCCCTACTCTCTTTTCTCTCATTCCCATGGCACCCGGGGACAACTGGATAAGGCTGTGCCCCTAATTAGAGGTGAGGGTCCACCAGGTTACAGACCCTATGCGCTCACAAGTAGGCCCCAGCGCTTTTGGTAAGTAACTCCTACATTGTGATTCCACACTGTGAAAAAGCATAGTTTTTTTTCCCCTAAATTCTTACGAAGTTAAAGAATGTCCCAAATAAGATATTCTCAAAGAATCATCTTAATTTTAAAACTCTAAGGGATTAAATATATCTCGGTTATAAGGAAGCTGTTTAAATATTCAGCCAATGTTGAGTGGGTAAAAGATGTCTTTATAATAAATTAAAGAGAGGGAAAAAGAACTCCTTCCCTCACCCTATAAATATTTCCTGAGTGCCTACTATGTATGTACAGACATAGGAGGCCACATCAGCAAACAAAACAGACAAAATCCCTGCAGAACATCAAAGCAGGGAAGATGAAGACCAACAGGGAACGGAAGTGACATTTAAGATAGAGTGGGTCAGGAAAGGCCAGCGTGATAAGGGCATGTTCGAGCAGAGGCCTGAAGGAAATCAAAGAGCAGCCATGTAGATAAGAGGGAAAAACATTCCAGGCAAAGACCAGAGCAGGTGCAAAGGCTCTGTGGCAGGTACTAGCACCACACTGAGGAGTAGCAAGGGGGCTGGAGTTGAGGAAGCCTAAGGAGGGGGAGGAGGTACAGGAGGTGATGGGGTGGGGGGAACCAGACCACGCCAGGCCTTGTGGGTCATAGGGTGGCCTCAATAATGAATTTATCCTGAAGGAAATGGAAAGCTCCCGTAGGGTAGAAAACAAAGCAGAATGACCTGATCTGACTTATGCTCTAGAAGGACCTTCATTTTCAAGAGAAAGAAGGAAATCACATTAATCACATGACATGACTTTTTAAAACCGAAACTGACACACACAGTTTATTTTATACCACACAGTTTTAAACAAAATAATCTGTTTAGTAGCTCCCTCAACAAAGGTTAAAACTCATCTCAGTTTTTTTTTGTTTTTTGTTTTTTTAAGTGACTGCAAACACATGGCTCCCCAGGGCTCTACTTCATGGTAAAAGAACAGCAGTAACTACATATAATAAGATTACAAAGAAAACAAATGCACATATAATAAAATTAAAATAAAACAAGTACTTCTAATTACACAAGTATATGTGATCTTTATGTCTCTGGGCTGTTACTTAATTGGCACTTAGAGGAGACTCTGGCTGCTGAGTATGTTCCAAGACACAACTCTCCTCCCAGTGGTCTAAAATCCAATTGATGAATGAAGCAAACCTTGATATTAAAGAAGGAAAGAAGTGAACAAGGAAGGAATCTCACCAAGCAAGTCATCACCACTTGTCAGAGACAGGACCCTGCCTCCTCTATTGTGGTTGAGACTGAGCTGAGAAACAGAACATTTTGAGAGGCTGACAGAGGCCAGGGAGAAGGGCATTCCCACTGGAAAGCAGTGGCCAGCAAGCATTTTATAAGCAACGGATGTGCTGGGTGGTAATAAGGAAGACCCAGCTAAGAGATTAGGAAGGCTCCTAAAAAGGAAAACAACTAAGTTTTCCCATGACATCGGAAATCTCCACCTTTTCCCGAGGCCCCTTCTGAAGCCTGGGCTCTGAAGTCCCTTGAGAAGGAATCTTACCAAGTGAGTGACTTCTGAACTCTGGTGGTCTCATCTGCAAAGTGGGCAAGATACAAGGTGCTGTGCCTGGCACAGAGCAGACACTCCAATCTGAATTTCCTTTCCCTCTATTACCCCCAATCCTGAAATGAACCTTATTTTCTTACTTGTTCTTTATGGCCTCAAAGGCCAACAATTACTGATAGAAATGAAGGTGCAAAGTTGGGAAAATGTACGACATACTTCCCTTAAAGCGGAAGGCCAAAGAGAGGAGAGCCTTACCTGACATAGAGAGAGATGGGCACCATGGTGTTTAGAATAATGATGTAGCCCCAGAAATTGAGGAATCCACGGTAGGAGGGTGTATAGTCTTCTCCATCATAGAGGTACCAAGAATAATTGCCAACTTGAGCTTCCCAGTAAGCATGGCCAATGGCAAGACCCGCAGAAACCAGGATGAGAACAACAAAGATCTAGAAGACATGAAACATTTAAGTGTATTTGGAAGACAGACTGCCAACTCCCAGAATGTCACAGATGCTAATTCACCTTACTCAATACTTTGCATGTTAATGATAATTTAATAGTCTGTAAAAACAACACACTTAAAGGAAAAACGGCACCATCAGGATGCTTTGAAAGCCTATTTGAGTTCTATCATTGACTGATCTATCCTACAGAACACATCTAGGTACAGTTTTGTCCCCAAAGCTATAGTTTGAAAGAGAAAGTGGTGTCTTATATTCAAATCTTTAAACATCCTCATATTACAGGGCATTCGATCCATGGCTTTTAGTTTGAATAATATTGTACTGTTTGGGGAAGGTATCTCAGTATGAAATAATTTCAAACAATGCTGACTTGGGATGCTTATAGAAAATATTTGATGGAAGTAAGTTTTAAAAGAGAAGTTAAGGGAATTTCACCCAGATTTGGGTAATGATTCCTGAAGGTTTAATTATCACTTCAAGTTTAAGATCACTTAAAAAGCGGCACAGTAAGTATATCCTGTTAGGAAAATTATGAGGATACACTTACGGGATGAAAAGTCCACTGTCCTCGTAGTATTTGGATATTTATGGGTAGGAATACAATTTCCAAGGACATATTTAAATTTCTGGACACAGATTCCAAAAGTGCTATATCTCAAAACCACTACAGCACAAAGAACTCATTGTGAGTACTTTGGCCATAACCAGGACAATGACATGGAAGACGCACTTGAAAAGTTCAAAGTTTTCATGAAATGTGGTATCAGAGAAAAAAGAATTGCTTCTTAAATTAGTATATTACTTTTATATGACTTTAAATATGTATATGTAAAGTACTGTAAGTTTTAGAAGTCCCTAAAAGTTTATGTATTCAAATTAAACTAAATACTTGGGCACAAATGAATTCTCATTGGGAAATCAGAGGACTGCCTAATATTTGCAGCCAGGCCTGAGATGCTATCCTTAAACGACTTGCTTGCAAGGTTGGTCTTTGGCTGGCATCTGGGAACTTAGTTTTGGAAGGGTTTCCTTATTCCTTATTACCTGATAAGAATGGCTCTTTGTGCCTAACTGTTTGTGTAAAACAATATGGCTTATGCCGACCACTTGCATTCCTTCAGGGAATCTGGAATTTTAGTACATGCCTGGCAGATGATGCCTATGTGACCAGATCCCAGTAAAAGCCCAGGCACAGAGTCTCCAATGAGAGAGCAACAAACTGTTGCTCAGGGAATTAAGTGTGTCTTGCCGTGTGACCCTCCTGGGAGAGGACTCTTGGAAACTGGCACCTGGCTTCCTCCAGACTCTGGCTCATGGGCCTTTTGCCTTTGCTGATCTTGCTTTGTAATAAGTTACAGTAAGTCATAGCTATGGGGGCAACTAGATGCTCCATTCTATGAGTCCTCCTAGTGAATCACCAAACCTGGGGGTGGTCTCGGAGACCCCTCAACACCTTTTATTTAGCCTTGCCTTTTATGTAGACTGATACAGTATATGTCAAGGGAAAAAGTTTGCTTTTAAGAGAACTACCCCTTGGGGAAACTAATAGCAGTAAAATCAACCCTACATTGACTCTAGGAGCCCAGTCCCATGAACTTATCTTGGGCTCCCCGGTTTTTCAACTGGTCACTCTAGTTAACAAAATACTCAAGCACTCAGAGGCCCCTACAACTGGAATTTCCATTCTCAAAAGGATTCTCCTATTAGAGGTATGGCATTTCTGAGAAGAAGTAAGAGAGTCCTCTCTCCCACCCAGCCTTGGGACACCGCATGCATTCTTCTACTTGGCTTGCAGAGGTACGATCTCTCTGCACAAGAAAAGCATACAACATTACAGCAAAAGACAGCAGTCTAGCCTCTTATCTACTGAAACAGAAAATAAGTACCGTATAAACCATGTAGTTCATCAAGTAATCAATTTTAGTTCTTTTAAATCTGGTTTTCCCACTATTCTTCATTATTTTAGTGTCAGCACCTAAAAGTGGAAAATTCAATATGATCAATAGTTGGGAAAATCAATTCACGGTCATGTCAATAAAATTACTTTTCCTTTGATTTCAATGGAGAATGAAAAGAAGAACAATCCCTTCCTTTAAATCTTAAAAGCACATATCAATTTCCCAAGAAACTCTGAAATTACCTGCAAAAATGACCAATCCATGGCAGAAATCCGTGTTCCTAATTACACAGCCACGTAACAAAATTTTATCTGCATCCAGAGGAAAACTTCTGTTTCTCCAAAACAGTGTTCCTGTAAACTTATCTAGCCGATTATTGGGTTCTTCACATTCAATAAAACCTTTAGAAAAATATGACTCACATAAATACTCACATACGAAAGATTTTCTGGTTTTAATTAATTGGGACTGAGTTGAGCAACAAATTTAAAACAAAGTAAGACATGTTTGCACAAACCATCAAATGTTGTCAGTGAATTTTCTCTTTGGAGATACTGGTGTGTGATTTCAAGTGCCATTTTGAACTTTAGATTGGTTTCTCTAAAGGGAGAGGAAAAGAAAATTAAATGAATAAAATTTGGAGCTCGAAAAGGAATATAAGAAAAACTGTACGAAGTAACATTTGGTATACCTGGAAGCAAAAGCTAGATCATTAGCTTTTCTGATTTTCAAACTCTGTTTGCCTTGGAACTTTGGGTTTAGTGAGATTTCCTGAACTACAGAAAAACTTCTGACTTGGGAAATTTTGGTCCCCTTCGCTGTTTAAGTGGGCCAATATGGTTGGGACAGAGGCATCTACAAGCTTCCTGTCCTCCTTCTTACTAACTTAGCTTTCGCCACCAGCCTAGACTATCAAATTGCTATTTAAAAACTTAGCTCCTAGGGCTGCCTGGGTGGTTCAGTCGGCTGAGCGTTGGACTCTTGACGATCTCAGGGTCATGGGATCGAGCCCTGCATTGGGCTCCGTGCTCAGCGCAGAGTTTGCTTGAGATTCTCTCCTCTGACCCTTCCCCCTCCCTTTGCTTGTGCTCTCTCTCTAAAAGAAACAAATAGGGGCACCTGGGTGGCTCAGTCATTAAGCGTCTGCCTTCGGCTCAGGTCATGGTCCCAGGGTCCTGGGATCAAGCCCCACGTCGGGCTCCCTGCTCAGCGGGAAGCCTGCTTCTCCCTCTTCCACTCCCCCTGCTTGTTTTCCCTCTCTTGCTGTCTCTCTCTCTCCGTCAAATAAATAAAATCTTTAAAAAAAAAACAAAAAATTTTTTTAAACTTAGCTTCTAATATTTAATCGCACTAAGATGATTCTACAAGACATATTTGTTACAGAAAGTGTTTGGACTCTGTCAACCTATTCTTTTCCAGAGTGAATAACTGGATTTTATCTTTGAAAGATAATCCTACCTAGGAAAGGAGGTGGGAACCTTACCCCCCAGTACATGGCATTTCCCATCCACAGAGCAAGGAAGGCGCATGTTCTGGAAAAAAGAGAGTTGGGCTGGGCTTTTGGGTGCTGGACGGCAATACTGCCTTTACAGGCTGGACGTCCTTTTGTGGGCTCCATGAACACTGACTCTGGGGTTCCCCTATATTCAGACGCTGACCTGCCCTCAACCTTCCCGTTCTGTTTGTTCTGACAGGGCATGTTGGGATTTGCTACCTTTGGAAAGCTTTAGAGGCTCTCACTCATGGGAATAATGGCTGTTTTACAGGTAAGACTGACCAACTGACTAATTTATAGCACAAAGACAGACCTAGTTTCCCTGAGATGATTTCAGCTCCCTGCAAAGATTAAATGAGCTAATACATAACGCTAATGCAACATAGCAGGCACTCAATAAATGCATTCAAAACTGGTCAAAAGCAGAACATTCTTCTAAGTGGTAGCGTTGAGCCAACAAAGGGAAAATCCAGAATTGCCTATTGACAAGTACTTTAAAAATCTGTTTTTTTCTGAAATAGCTTATGTTGATAGTCATTCGTATGTGTCTGCACACTTCTCAGCTGCTTACAAAGGGCTCAGGCATTGACCCTTTTATCTTCCCTCAAAGCTGGGGGGAGGGCAGGTTTGAGAGCCCCTCTTTACAGATGGAATTGGAGAAAAGAGACGTTGGTCCACTAGGGACACTGTTGGACAGCCAGCAAGTGCTGGAGGCAGGGCCAGATCTCAGGGCTCCTTTTCATGATGCAATTTTCAACGGAATGAATGTGCCTTCAAAGGTCAGCCTTAAAACAGGCCTGGCAAAGACCCACTTACCCATCCAGTTCAGCTGTTTCAACGTAGCAGAGGCTGTTGGGCTCAGAGCTGGACAGCAGGAGGATGTCAGCCTGTTCAAAACAAAACACACCGGTAACACAGAGATCCCCAAGGCAAAACTGAGCACCAGAGCAGCTGGGAGGGTAAGAGATGAGGGATGCAGGGCTTATGCACTTACCGGAATAAAATCATTTTTTTTCAGACGAATGACATCTCCAACTTGAATCTCTTTCCACTTGGCAACTTTGAATCTAAATATTAAAAATAATGACAGTTTATTGGCTTTTTCAAAGTTACTGGCAAAGGATTTGGAATTATTCTTTCTAGAAGCCAATGATTCTGGGGAAAACGTGAATTTCACAGAGAAAAGCGTTCCTGAAAGTTCAGCCATCAAATGATGAAACCACATTAAGAGGTCACGGGAACTACAGTCTCCTCTAAAGGAAGCAGTGGTGATGGGGACCATTTGGATGTGTTCTTTCCTATGTCACGATACCTGGCACCTCCTTTGTTTTTGCTCTTGTCCTGTATTCCTACCTCTCTTGTTCTCTCTCCTCTGGGTTATCCACCACCTGCTCAGGATGCAGGTCCCAGGTGGTCCCGGGGCCGGGACCGAGCATTCTGGCTCCCACACGGGCCACCTGGAATCCTCTTGGAACTTTAGAACGTGCCTCCTCCCTATTGTGTAAATTACCTTTCCAAGGAGTGTGTTGCACTTTCATAAGTCTACTAAGGACATTGATAAAATGCAAAATTAAATAAGAAGAGGACTATTTTCAGTCTTAAATTTCATAGGAAATAATCATTTAAATGTCTAAGAAATCGGGGCGCCTGGGTGGCTCAATCGTTAAGCCCTCGGCTCAGGTCATGATCCCAGGGTCCTGGGACCGAGCCCCGCATCGGGCTCCCTGCTCAGTGGGGGGCCTGCTTCTCCCTCTCCCACTCCCCCTGCTTGTGTTCCTGCTCTCGCTCTCTCTCTGTCAAATAAATAAAATCTTTAAAAAACAGAAAAAATATTTTAAAAAGGCTAACAAATCAACATCTTTTTTAAACATCTTTTAAACATCTTTTTAAAACATCTTTTAAAACACAGTAGTCTGTTTTAAAGATGTTCACATATAGAAAAGGTATCCCTAATAGATATTGTGAATCTATCACAACTAATAAACTTAATATTTTTTGGAGGCAGAAATCCAATTACCATGTGTGTCCTCCCATTAATTCATGGATAAGAGAGACCTGGAGTTGAAAGTATATTTTTCTTTTCAATTTAGAATACATTTTAAATATATGGCTATACACCAGTTTCACCAATTTATTAGAATACACGATTCTTGGGAGCCTTGGGTGGCTCAGATGGTTAAGCGTCTGCCTTCGGCTCAGGTCAGGATCCCAGGGTCCTGGGATCGAGTCCCGCATCAGGCTCCCAGGGAGCCTGCTTCTCCCTCTGCTTCTCTCTCTCTCCCTCTGTCTCTCATGAATAAATAAATAAAATCTTAAAAAAAAAAAATACACGATTCTTAGGATTAAAAAAAACTTGACTCATCTTTCAATAAATGAAATGATGGTTTACATGTCAGTATCTGTAAAACTGTAAATTACAATTTGCATATGAGTGTCAAATTATAAACGAACAAGAACCTTCTTGTCACGGCTCTCTGGGGGAATGAGAGGCAATTCTGTTGAATCCTTCCACTGCGACATGTACTTTCCCCTTGGGAGGTCGTACTGCCCTCCCCACACGGTCCGAGTCCCCACACAGGCTTAACCCTCCCCCAGGGGGAGCCGGGGCCACAGCCCTATCAGATACGCACCCTGACCCCCAAATCCAAGGCCACTCAGAGCTACTCTTTACCAGTCGAGTTAACCAGGCTGTGGCCTATTGCCAGGGTAGTGCGGGCTGGCTGTGAATCTTACCACTCTCCATGACAGTGATTCTAAGTGATTTGAAAGGTAACCTTCAGAACAGAATCCATTTATTTGGGAAGGAAAAAAAGCCATCCAAACAGATTGACGTAGTCTATATGAAAATTAGACACAGTGGAACTGTGCCTATAAATCACCTTCTCTTTCTCAGGGTCGACACCCAAAAAAAAAAGTCTTTGAATTGGGCCTTCAGACTATTTTTTTCTTTCTTTTTTAGTGAAGTGTAATTGATATATAATATCCTACAGTTTCAGGTGTACATCGCAGTGATTTGGCATTGTCTTAGTCACTATTTTTAGCACCTGACTTTGTGGTTCTGCCTCCAGGCGCTTGCTCAAAAAAACAACTCATTACTGGTCTGTGAGTTGGCACATTGGTCACAGTTGACAATGTTTATTTAACACTTATGGAGCACTTTTGGTGTGTTGGAGGCTCTGATGGACCAAAAAAAAAAAAACCCACAAAAAACAAAAAACAAAAACCCAACCAAATACTATCAGGATAGTCTCCCTGAGAAACTTACAGTTCAGGACAGAAGATGAGACACCAATAATTCTAATACAAGTCAGGCCATAATAAGAAAGAGGAAAGCAAAATGCTCTGAAAACGCAGTGAAGGGAGAAATCACTTGAGCTGGAGAATCAGGTAAGGGTCAAGATGTTTGGGCGAAATCCTGAACACACAAGTTTGGGAACAGCAAAGATGGGAGCTCCAGGCCGAAGGAGTAAACAGTGTAAACAGTGCTGGGGCTCCTGGGGGGCTCAGTAGGTTAAGGGTCTGCCTTCAGCTCAGGTCATGATCCCAGGGTCCTGGGATTGAATCCCACATCAGGCTCCTTGCTCAGCAGGGAGCCTGCTTCTCCCTCTGCCCCTCCCCCTGCTCATTCTCTCTCTCTCTCTCTCAAATAAATAATAAATAAAAGCTTTAATAAAATAAACAAACAGTGCTGATACCGTAGGGCCCAAAGGCAAGCACCAACTTGGGTCATGAGAAGAGGACCAAGTCTTAGTAAATTAACAGAGACCCTTACAGTGAAAAGGCCATTGGGCTGACTGTCTTATATGTTTCTAGACATAGTTATCCACTCTATCCCTGTAACTAAGTAACAAATTAAGGAAGGCACAGTACCTGCCATCCTTAATGACTTCACATGTCCTATTATTGATTTCATTATCCATTTTATGGCGAGCCTTTAGAAGAGAGGAGGAGAAAGGTTATTTTAATCATCTCAAAATAGAAGGTATCGATGCCACTGCAGCGAGGAGAAAAGTTGCATGAGCAATTCTTACCACGTCGTCCACCAGGTCTTTGATGGCCGTGATGCCCAGCACCACAAGCAAGGGAAACAGGGTGGTATACCATGCCAGGGTCGAGATTTGAGGGATTGCCTGCAAGAAATACAAGGAAAACATATGTGCCCATGAAGGCATGGCTTCTATAGGTTACTGCTAATTCCAATCTCCACCATCACCCAAGTCTACACCCTGCAGAGCCTGCAGGGAAGGAAAGGCATCCAAGCCTCCAGCCAACCTTCTTCCTGCCGCCCTCTCTAGCTTTTGGCCTCCAGGAACAGACCCCAGAGGACATGCATATAGCAGGTGTCTGAGGGTCTCAGGACGGAGGTCAGGACAGCTGTAGGTAGTGGCTGCCCCTGAACACTCATGATTGCACTGGGCATCTTTGGGGGTCATCACTACTGGTCCGGCTGAGAAAGAGGCTGGCCTTGAAGGAGGCCTTGCCCCCCTTAAGACAGGCTTCAATTTGGAACAAAAGATTGGGAGGCAAGGTTAGTAAAGATCTCCTGTAATCATCCCATGGATCATCAGGCCATATTATGCAGTGGTTAAAATGAAAGGCTTTGCAGAGAAGTTCCCGGATCCAAATCCTGTCCCGCTCTCTTACTTAGGGCTTTGGGATTTTGAGCAAGTTCCTATATCTCCCCAGGCCTCAATTTCTCTGCAAAATTAGGAGGTTAGGATAGCCCTTGCATCACAGAGTACAAGAATTAAGTGACGTAACAACGTAAGCAAGTGGCCGGCTAAGGCTATAACTATTATTCTAATTTAAATTGCTCCATCTTAAGAGAAGATGATTCTCATTTAAATTGCTCCATCTTAAGAGAAGAAGAATATGGCAAGATCACTTGCCATATTATTATCAATGTGTGTAACTCCCCTTTTCCCTGCTAGAAGGAAGGCAGGGAAAAATAGCTCACTTATCATACAGCAGCACCTTCAAATTTTGGTGTTTGTCTCTACACAGGTCTGTTTCAAACGTCCCTCCTGATAACAGGACCATTCTATACTATCAAGCCAGTAGATTTCATACCCTACTAAATCTGTTGGGTATCCGTTTCTTTCTCATGTTTCCTCACCACGTCCTGCACCCTCCATCCCCACCCGGACACACACACGCTCCCATTTCATGAAGCATTCCTGAGTGAATCTCAGCAGACGAGACTGTTTTCCAAATCCAATGCTGGATATAAAGAATCTGATAAAACCAAGTGGCTATGCTGTCCTTTGTAGCCTGCACATCAGGGGCTAAAGGTCAATACTCTGGCAACTAGAGGGTGTAGAGTTCCTTTGATTATAACAACAGTTTCTAGACAGGTAAAATTAACACTCTCCAGATAAGTGAATCCTTTGCCACAGTGGAGAAAAAGACTCAGGAAGAGAATAGGCCTTTTGTCCACATAAAACCAGTTCGCAAAAATAATTTATTGAGAATCATGACCCAAATATTAAAACAAATACATAATATTCTTGAGGAAATCAAGCGTCTGGAGAAAAAACAAAGGGCAAGCACACACAAAAATAGAATTTTAAGGTACAAATCATTTTATAAAGTGAAGGTTTTAATTGTATTCACTTCGGGGAAACCAGTTTAACACTCACATCAGGACGAAATAGAATTTTTAAAAATATAGAGTTAAAATATCTCCATTTGCTTCCTTTCCCTATTCACTGAACACTGTAGTCCTGATTCTGTATGAGGCACTATTTCCTTACATGCAGAACCCTGATATTAATACAACGACTTTCAAGATTATACACGTCCACAACCTCAGTGTTACTGAGTCATCATAATTCAAAACAGATTTAAGATATCAAAGGGCATTACCTGTAAGATAAGAAGGATCAGGAAATAGAAATTGGCTGCTCTCTTAAATTGCTCAAACAAATTCATCGGTAGAAAGGAAAACGCATTATACTTGTATGTTTTAATTGCATTATTCTGTTGGGGAAAAAAAAGAAAGAAAGAAAGTCATTCTACATAAGGTCACACATTTATCCCAGTGTAGACACACCTGCAAAAAGCCTTAAAGCCTGATGGCCTATGGTGACACAGGGACATTAGCCAGAAAGACACTGAGATTTCCTTTACGCCTTTAATTCTAACCAGGCCTCCTTGACTCCTTGGAGGATCAGGCCAGAGACAGTAACAAGAAGGAGACATTTACCCCCAAAGGATCTCCGTGGCAAATCTGGCTGTGACCGTGTGGATGCTGCTGGCAGATTCCTTGACTCCTCAGAGCCTCTTAGAAAATGGCGCAAAGCGTGGACCACAAAGCTGAAGAAGGAACACTCTTTTCCTTGAGGGATGAAGGCTACCGTGTAAAGGAAAAGACACTGTTGTGTGTTGAACTGTGTGCCCCAAAAGATACGCTCAGGTCCTAATCCCGGGACCCGTGACTGCCATCTTATTTGGGAATGGGGTCTTTGCGGATGGGATCAAGTTACAGCGACGTCACACTGGATTCAGGTAGGCCCTGATCCAATGACTGGTTGTCCTTACAAGATGAGGACAGCTGGACCCAGACGTGGAGATGCACAGGGACAAGGCCATGTGAAGACAGAGCCAGAGATTGGAGGGATGTGGCTACAAGCCAAGGAACACCAAGGATCGTCAGTCACATCCAGAAGCTGGGGGAGAAGCTTGGAATAGACCTTCCCGCAGGCCCCCCAGAAGGAACCAACCCTGCCGACACCTTGATTTTGGACTTCTGGCTCCCTAACTGTAAGAAAACGAATTTCTGTTGTCTTACCCTGGCCTGTTTGTGTCCCTGTTACAGATGGCCTAGCCAACCAAAAGACACATTACAACACATAAGCAAACGCTTGACAGGTGTTACCATATTTTAGAGGTAATAAGGATTTTTGAGGTGAAAATATCTTCAAAGTCTTTAAATCTATCACAGGCAGAGAAGGGGGAGAGAAGTTATCAAGATCCTTTCAAATTCTTATTACCTTCAAACATAAGGCTTCTGTGACATTATTGTAAATTCTTATACAAAATGTTAAGAGGGCACCTGGGTACACAAGCAATGAATCATGGAACACTACATCAAAAACTAATGATGTAATGTATGGTGATTAACATAACAACAACAACAAAAAAAGACGGCACCTGGGTGGCTCAGATGGTTAGGCGTCTGCCTTCAGCTCAGGTCATGATCCCAGGGTCCCGGGATCGAGTCCCTCATCAGGCTCCCTCAGCGGGGAGTCTACTTCTCCCTCTCTCCCTGCTTCTCCCCCTGCTTGTGCTCTCTCTCTCTTTCAAATGAATAAATAAAATCTTTAAAAATAAATAAATAAAACATTAAGAGAGCTCTGTGCACACATACGGAAAATTTCAATCTACATAATTTTGTTTTGGTCTGTGTCAAGCCACTCCTACTCACCTTTATGAAACAGAATGTGATGAATAAACATGATATTCTATAGAACGGACAATGATTATCAATGGCCCGAGCCAGGGATGATCTGGAAGGCAGATGTCTCACAAAGCTGGTAAGCATAATGGCTACTGGAAAAAACTGGCTCTTAGTAAAGAGGATTTAGAAAGTCAAAATCAACTTACCGCATACTTGCTCTCCTTAATACAAAAGAACCTTGTTTTCATGAAGTGAGGTTGTTCATGGAAGCTTCGATCATTTGCTTTGACTTGCCATGTACAATCTTTTAAAAAGAAAGAGAAAAAAGTCCATCAAGCAGAGAATTAGCATATGGTTATGGGCTGAATTGTGTCCTTCCCGATTTCAGATGTTAAAGTCCGAACTCCTACTCTGTGCCTTGGAATATAACCTTTATATTATAATATAACCTTTATATCATACAATGAGGTCATTAGAGTCGCCCCCAACCCAATAGGACTGATGGCCTTCTAAAACAAAGTAAATTTGCACACAGAAAGCACAGTGGAACGATGAGATGAAGTCACAGGGAAAACCTGGCCACCTACAAGCCAAGGGGCGAGGCCTGGAACAGACCCTTCCTTTCCTTTCAGCCTCTGGAGGAACCAACCCCTGCCCATACCTTGATCATGGACTTGCAGGCTCCAAAATCTGTGAGATTTTAAGTTTCTGCTGTTGAAGCCACCCAGTTTGTGACACTTTGTTATGGCAGCCCTAGCAAACTAATGGACATGCTGTAATTTAACCAACTGTCCATAGAACACTGGAGTTTGGAAAAAGTAATCCTCGTTAAACATGACCCAAACAAAATCCCAGAGCCCAGGAAGGTCACAGCTATATTAAGCCAAATTATTATTTTCACACTCATGTACTTGGTTTGTAAAGTTTATCATCCATTAAATATTTAGTGAATGGATAAATCAAAGAAAAAGGCCATCACCGACTAATTCAACACTCTTGGGTCCTGATCACAGATCAGTGTCCTCTGCTTTATCTCACGCGCTTAATGTCACATCCACAGTACTGAGCGGACTCGGTCCATTTAGTCGGCATATCCGAATTCCAAGGAACTTGAGAACATCCACAGCATCTCTACTGCTGGGGGGAACATTTCTCACCTAACAGGTATCTCATGAAACCCTTCTCCCTAGTCACCTCCCTCCCCCACCGCCCGGTACTAACTCTTTCTAACCTGGTTCTCCTTGGGGATAGTTTTCTCCACGCTTAGTGGAAGATGCTACCTACGGGTTTAGTAGAACAATTCCTAACTCTGTGAGATTACATCTTCTTCATTCCCAACCTAACCACCAACCACATTCCTAACATCTGTGCTTATCATCCCCTTATTTTTCTGTATAGGTTTATTAAGTAAGCACTCCCCACCCCCCAAGTAAGTTGTTCAGGCCAGTTTTGAGCTGTATTGCTTGGATTCTTCTGTGAGTTGCTTTTCCACCATCAACACTACATGAGTTTCATCTATATTAGTGTGGATAACTGCTCTTCATTGCCACCGGCTTATAGTATCACGTGTATACCACAGGTTATCAGTTCTTCTGTTGGTGAATATTTGGGGTGTTTCTAGCATCTTGCTATTACAAATTATTTTGCTATGAACATTCTCAGATCGTCTTCTGGAACTTTTTTTTTTTTTTAAGATTTATTTATTTATTTTGAGAGAGTGAGAATGAGAGAGAGAGAGAGAGCACATGAGAGTGGGGAGGGTTAAAGGGAGAAGCAGGCCCCTCGCCGAGCAGGGAGCCCGATGCGGGACTCGATCCCGGGACTCCAGGATCATGACCTGAGCCGAAGGCAGTTGCTTAACCAAATGAGCCACCCAGGCGCCCCGTCTTCTGGAACTCTTAAGAATTTTTTTCAGGTATCTATTTAGAAGCGGAAAGTCTGGGTGATGACTCTCCTCTTTTGGTTGCCCACAATTCTTGCTGTACCCCTCCCTCCTCCTTCTCTTGACTGCCTCCTGAAGGGACAGGAGTCCAGTCTATATTCAGGGACACTGGGTGGAGGGGGAGAAGAGGAGAGGGAGGTGGGTGGTATGACTTCAACTACAGTATTGGGCAACCAGTCAGGAAGGCCTGAGGCAAGGCAGCGCCATCATACTGGCTCTAAAGAGTATGAAGTTGAGGTGGTGGTCCTCTGACCCGAGACTAGGGTCTCAGGTTACACCATAGTGACATCACACAATCAATCCACTGTGAGGTTACCACCAGGCTGTGGGACATAGAGATTCCAACGAAGATGTGTTCCACTCTGAGATGGCCTGGATATTTAACCCACAAGAAAGGCAGGCTGGAACGGTCTCCAGGAAGTCTTCTCTGAGCCTGCGCCCCCACAGTAGCTTGCTCCTCTGTCTCCTTCTTAATGAGACTCCAAGATTACAGCCTCCTTGCTCCCAAAACCCAGCCCCTGGCTACCCTCTGGCATCTCCATGGTGGTCTCCACGTTCCCGGCTCCACAGCCTGAGACATAACACCCACCTCTCTACCTCACGGTGGGACCACTGTTTTGTGGTAGGGCTGGCTTTGAAGTTTCTCAGTGAAGAGCCAACCCAGTGGCTCTCTTACTTCCAGAACCTAAACTAGCAGGAGGTGGGCTCCTCCCTATTTGTGAAATGTCGCGGGGTCCTTCGTGGTGGGGCTGCGGCTGTTGCTTCATGGGCTGATCCAGACTCGTTTCTTTTCGTCATCCCTAGTGGGTCCACAGCTGGCTAAGGACTCCCTGGAGGTAGATTTCTGAGTTGACCTGTCACCCCCTATCTTATAGCAATTGTCAGCCATCCTGTGGTGATAGAAATTCCTTCTACCGGGTGTTTGGTCCTCCCTTCTTTCCTTCCGAGCTTCAGCTCTGGGCTTGGAGACTCCCTGGCTTCCAAGCTGTCGACTTACACAGCCTTCACTCGGCAAAACTGAAACAAGGGTCCCGCTACTGCAGGGTTAGCTGCTTTGGCAACAGGCCTGCAATCACCACAGTAGGCAGCTCTCTGGGGGCAGGCTGGGGCCTCCCCTGACATGCTGAAGGTACTCGTGGAGGATATGCTTGCAGACCTTGAATAGGAAAGGTAAAGCTCGCAAGGTGAGATCTAGTTTACCTCTGGCTCAAGTCCTTTCTAACTCAATGGATCTCCTAGTGATGGAGCCCAGCACCTAATGGAAATTTCAGCTAAAGGGACCTTTAGAAATGATGCACCTGGCAGTCAGGCTACATCTACAGAGGAAAAATATTTCCACCCACCTGGTTTGCTTTACCCATCTACTCCTGATTTCTTCTGTCCCATGATGTGTAGCTCAATAGCTAACATTTGTTCAGTGCTTACTATGTATAAGGCGTCATGCCAAGGAGTCCAGTTTCTCTGTCCACTTCACTGTACGGACTGGGCCTTTTTTTGTAACCTGTGCTCCAAACCACCCTGAGAAGTGTGCCCACGAGCCAAGGTGGGAGCGTTGCTTACGAGCATAGGGTTGACCTTTCCACCAGGAAAGGTGGAAGTCAAGTAACAGGCCATGCTTGGTTTCCTAACAGGAAGGGATAAGCATGCCACTGCTAAGAAAACTCAAGACAAGGATGTCATCAATTAGGAAGGAAAGTTGAGGAAGCACCTCTTTGGCATCAGGTCCTCCAGTAACTTGGGTTTGAACATGCACACCAGATGAACTTCCTTTGTAGGATATACATGAGTGGGTCAACCCAGTTTGGATGCACCCCTCCCTCCCTGGCACACTGGCAAGGGAGGGAAATTAACAACTAACGGGACTGAACTATTTTTGGAGATGGGAATATATTAAAGAGCATTTACAGGTAAAGAATTCTAAAATTATCGGTCTTATACAATTATCAAAGTAAAGACAGACTTCTGAAAATATTGTACTTCATTTTTTTAAAGGATTCATTTCTCTAGACTTTTCCCTCATAGGAAGTACAGATAACGCAAAAGGGACAAGTGTGAACTACTGAAGAATGCAAATAATTAACCTAGTTACTTTTTTAAAAACCACAGTACCATTACTGAAAATTTCTCTTGCATCATTTTGGCTGCCATTCATTTGGTAATCATAATGATTGTGCCATTACAAAAGGAACTGCACCCAGCCTCTTTCTAGTGGAAGTGCAATTTTATCAAATGGGAAAACTAAAATGGAACTATAAGAGGACTCATAAGCACTGTTACAATGTGCACTGTCTGTTGCACAATCAGAATATAATGTACGCAATCAGAACATTTCTTCCCCACTCAAATAGGAAATCTGGGGCGCCTGAGTGGCTCAGTCTTTAAGCGTCTGCCTTCGGCTCAGGTCATGATCCCAGGGTCCTGGGATTGAGCCCCACATCGGGCTCCCTGCTCAGCGGGAAGCCTGCTTCTCCCTCTCTTGTGTTCCCTCTCTCGCTGTGTCTCTGTCAAATAAATAAAATCTTAAAAAAAAAAAAAATAGGAGATCTAAATAAAAGTGGGTAGAAAAGGTATTTTATAGGGTCATCTTGAATCCATTCTGTCTTATGGTAACTTGAAAACGTATGTGCTTTTAATGGTTTGCGTTAGCTTGCAGATGGCTCGTGACACACCTCCGGCTACCAGTGTCCCCGAACTTCACCGAGCTGCCGTCCTAAACCCCAGGAAGGCTGAGAAGGAAAATAGACTGGATTCCTCAAGAAGCAAGAAAAGGCCAAGGGGAAGGGATAAAAATCAATCTCAGAAAAACTCGAAAGAATAAGCTGCCCAGTTAGTTAATGAGCTAGATTCCTTGGCTCCCTTGTGGCTCTTTTTCGTTTGTTTTAATTTTTTAGTTAAATTCAATTCAGTTGGGACGCCTGGGTGGCTCAGTCGGTTAAACATCTGCCTTCGGCTCAGGTCATGATCCCAGGGTCCTGGGATCAAGCCCCCAGTTGGGCTCCCTGCTCCGCAGGGAGTCTGCTTCTCTCTCTGCCCCTCCACCTGCTTGTGCACACTCTCCCTCTCTCTCTCTCTCTAATAATTGAATAAAATCTTAAAAATCAATAAATAAATTCAATTTAGCTAACATACAGTGTATTATTAGTTTCAGGGGTAGAATTTAGTGATTCATCCGTTGTATATAACACCCAGTGCTCATTCCATCGAGTGCCCTCCTTAATGCCCATCACCCAGTTACCCAAATCCCCCCACCTACTTCCCCTCCAGCAACTCTGTTTGCTTGAAATTTCCCTCATAATTAAGTCCCCCAGCCAGTGGTCCCTGTCTGTCCCATACTACGCCTCATCCCCAGCCCATTTTGATGT